ATGGGATGAAAAAACTCATGGTGAAGTTCCTCTTGCAGAAGGTGTTAGATCCCGGGTCCGCCAACTGCATGCTGTTAGTCACTGGTGCAGTCATCTTGATTTTCATTTCTTCTTCGTTGCTGCCTCCGATGTAACTGAAAAGTTTCCAAAAGGCAGGTCTGCCGGCTTCTCTGGAAGTATTGCCTGGTAATTACAAAAGATGACGATAAGTTATCAATTAAAGACACAGTTGTAATCATTAAGGAAGCTGAGGACTTCGCAACTTGACGTGCGCACTGAAAAATGAAAACCGCAAAGCAGGGAGAAGGGGTACTTAAAATTTCAATTTTTTTTTCACTTGCAGGTTTTTTTGGGCGTATGTTTCACTTTCCTAGAAGCATTGAAGTTGCGCATTCATTCTTGTTTCGTTCGAGACTAACAATGAATTCTATACGAGGATAAAGTAAGAAGAGAACCCAAAGTAAGGAGGTGGATCTGGAAACGGTTACAGAAAGTTGCATCTTTAGAAAAATCCAAAAACTTCGTTTAGAGCAATAAATAATTCTTGCACAAGGAGTTTCGAATTTTTGCGAAGTTTTGCTTGTTTCCTAATAAAGTATTGACAGAAGAGGCTTTGGGAGACCAATCCATGAAAAATTCCTCAATTCCAGTCCCCCCTCCCTTATCACAATCTGAATTCCACAGAGTTCTCGTTTTCGTCTGAGCCAGTTTTATCCACAACTTCGAGCCGTTTGGGTTAAGTGCTGCTTTCAGTGTTATTTTGATAGCTTAAATGACTCTGCTTTACCTTCTACAGTAGTTGACACCCATTTATAAGGCTTTGAATAGCAGCGCAACGTATAATCTGAGGCATTGATCTTCATTTCATAGAATCGAGGGGAATCGTACGTCTTGTTACTGAATGAAGGTGTACGTGTCGGCGAAACTGGTCCCCCGAATCCGGGAATCTTGAATGGAAGCTTGGACAAAATTTTTTTCGCGACATCAGTAACTAGGCGATATCCATTTAAAAGACGTTTGCCAAATATCCTACCAAGACTTAAACCCTTAGTCTCAGTCGAGACTAGGAGTAACACAAGAACTGGGAGAATCAGCTTAATCTGCAAAGAAAACACGTTTTAATATAATAGTCAAAAGATTAGGTAGATATCAATGTTATTGTTTCCGTACGTATTAGATTACATCTGTAATTGGCAAACAAAGCGCCTTTGAGACCAGGGGCGCTGCAAGATGGCCAGCTTGCGCAGTTGCTTTACTCGCGAGATATTTCAGGAGGCGGTTTTCAGGAAGCTGCGAAAATGAGCGTCATTGAAGGAAAGGATGTCATAGTAAAGATGTATAGAAAATATCTACACTGTTGCAGAACCTTAAGTCGAAACTCGAACGGCAAAATTTATTTCCAAAAAACG